CATTTCCTAATACTCCTTTCCTGTACCATTCTACTCAGCCAATTCACTGCCTCTGCACAAAACACACAGGAGCCCTCTTCCATGAGATTCCTCCCACTGCTCACCTTCCTCTTCTGTTTTGTGTCCCCTATCTTCTTTATTTTCAAATAATTGTTTCTGAATAACTCCACTTTTTCTGATTATTTCTTTGCTTTGGTTTCCTCTTATGATACTGTTTTATTTTATAACCCACATTGACATGTTGACTTACAAATACAGATTCCCCACTCTGCACCAGCTCTAAGACTGACCTTTCTCACAAGATCCAGAAGCTTCCTGAAGGTGGGACCCTCCCCCAATCTTCTTCCTCAGAGGTTGTCCTGTCTGTACTCAGGACATGCTTCTGCTGATGATATTAATGCTCCCCAGTGAAGCAGCCCTCATGGTATAACTATTAGGATATTATACCAAACAACCACGAGGAACACAATTTTATTCTGTCAATTTTCAAACAGCCACCTGCCTTGAACTTGGCACTGAATCTTCCCAAGATTACAAATTCCGTTTCATGACTTCAAATTGTTACAAAACAAAAAACAAGCACAGTCACCAAAGGAATTTACCTCCTTCATTCATGGTATGTAACTACTGTTCTCTTTGAAGACATCTTAGGATGAGAAGCTCCATTTTGTTTCCTATTTGTATGACTGATCCCCACATTCTCAGGTCATGACTATGTTTTCCAAAATGAAAATCAATTCCAGAGCCAAGAGTAATCTTGGTCCCTATCAGTCCTGTCTCTAATCAACACACTTTAGAAGGTCTCTAGGAATGGAGAAGTTATTTGTGAGTCTCTTTCAACAGTTTGGCAAATAATTCCTTAAATTAACCTCACTCTCAAATGCTGACTCTTTACTTCCTGTAGTTTAGCCCTGTGCGGTTAGAGAGGAAAACATGGTCTACCACTCCCCTTTATCTCCTACATATTGCTCAGGATAATAAAAGACGTTTGCTTTTTTTTTTGAGACGGAATCTCACTCTGTCACCCAGGCAATCTTGGCTCACTGCAACCTCTATCTCCCGGGTTCAAGTGATTCTCCTGCCTTAGCCTCTCGAGTAGCTGGGACTACAGGCGCGTGCCACCACACCCAGCTAATTCTTTGCATTTTTAGTGGAGACAGGGTTTCACCGTGTTAGCCAGGATGGTCTTGATTCCCTGACCTCAGGTGATCCGCCTGCCTTGGTCTCCCAAAGTGCTGGGATTACAACCTTTTATTCATTCTATCCCTTAGCTTTAAGGTGCTAATCAATCAAGATAAAAGCAAAGCACTTAGTACAGTGCCTGACACATAGCAGGTATCCAAAAATGTTAGTTTCCTTTCTCTCCCCTCCTTCTCCCAATACCATATAGGTTTCTCAACCTTTCTGGGCCTTTTTACTGGTTAAAGATGTCACTGAATTAAACAAACTAATGTTCTTTTGTAGCTCTAACATTCTGTGACTCTAATTCACGTATTCTGGTTTGTTCTTCTATGCACTGCCATCATTTGGATCTAAAATTAGTGGCAGAGGAGTAATACTAGTCTCTAGGTTGACTTAACATACCTAAAATCACTAGCAGTTTTGAAATTCAAACAATAACTGTTTAATGTGATGCATCAATGTCATTCCCTCCTTATTCCTGAATTACTCTCTTGAACTACGTAGATAGCAGTGTTAAGTAAACACCCTTATGTAAGTTATTTGCTTAACGTATTTGCTCATCTTTTCCAGTTTCCCTGGAAAAATGTCTTCATAGGATCCTAGGGGTTCTTGCCCCATCCTCCAACCCTAAAGGCAAGACTACTGTAATCAAGGGGAATTATTTACTCAATAGTGGAGTTTTAATGGGGTCTTCCTGAAATGAACTGTGAATCTCTTAAGAAAATTAACCTATAAATTTCACTAGCCCAACCATAATTTTCCCTTCCATCCCATATCCCTCTCTCTTCTTTATAAGCAATTATACCCCAAGTCTTTCTGCAGCCCGGCTACCAGACTGTTCCAGTTCTCCCTTCTTACCCTTATTTCTACCTCTCATATTGCTTCATTTTCTGAAACTTTTGGTCCCCTAACAGAAATTGTAAATATTAATACTAGTACAAGGCCAAACTAAGAGTTCCAAAATTTTTAAAAGGGATGAGGCTACTAAGCTTTCTCTAGGTCTTTGAATTCAGCCTGTTTTCTCCAGGGAAGAATACATTCAAAATTGCATTAGCCTTGGTGAGGAGGGTTGTCTACAGGCTGATCCTCACCAAGGGTGTCCCTCCTTAGGCACTGTTGTAGTTCTGAGACTCAGGAAGGAGAAGTATCCCCTCCTAGAGACAGCCCATCAGACAGGCCCCTTAGGTAAAGACACCCTCCAAGACTCACGCTTTGTTCTTTACTTAGCTCTGACTGCTATATCATGGACTTTTTAAAGGTTTCTTCATGCAGCCTCCCTCAGGGTTGGTTTGGCCTGGATAAAATGCCCTTCATTCCTTTAGAGCTATCGATACTATCTGTAGTTTACAACCATGCCAGAGCAAGATATCAAAAAGTGCATCCATTTACAAGTCCTAGGGAACCTGGGTCTAATTGAATTTCCTTCATGACTATACCTTCTTAGTTCAGAGAAGTATGCTGTAGCTGAAGGCTGCAAACTGAGAATGCTTCACTAACAAACTACCCATTTAGAGGGCATGAAAGACAAACTCGGAATCAGTCTCTTTCTCTCAGCCTTGGAGTACTAATTTTTGAGATAAGAGATAATGAGAGAAATCCGGTGGTCAAAGTGTTTTGGCACCCCAGTGATTAATCACCAGGACATTAAAGCAACTCTTAAGTGCTTTCTCTTAGATACCACAGAGCCCTCTTCTCACCAAGCTTTACTTCCCACAGACACCATCTGCAAATGAGCTTAAAAATGTCAACAGCAAAAGCAACAATCTCAGGATATGGAAGAGGATAAAAAGGTGAAGGTTAAAAGCGGGGAAGCAGGAAGACAGAAAGATGACTCCCCGCCTTTCCTGGCCAGTAAAAGAATATTTTGTGCCCTATATAACATAAATGAAAACCTCCTTTCATGCCTCCTAGCAATACAAAAGTATGCTTATTTTGCTTTCTCCTTCACTTTCCACTACAGTAGGTTGAGGATCCAGATAGACATTTGTCTTATGAACTGACTCTCATTACCTTTCAAAACTATGAAACAGCAGTAACTCTAAATACCTGGTAGGGTTAAGCAATCAATACCGATGGCAGGCCTAAATTATTCCTGTTGAATGGTTGAGTAGGGAGAAAGAGAAATAGGAAAAGAAGTGGGTAGATAGGAGATGGAGAGACAGTTGCATACAGTGAGGAGTACCACCAGTCATTCCTTCAGATGTCGTACTCCCCCCCAAAGTCTCTCAACTCTGACTTGCAGTAATCTCCTACTTGAGAGTATTCCCAAGGTTAGGAACACTGGAGGTGTTCCTACAGACGAGAACTGTCACACCTGGACTGTAAACTTAACCCAAGTGTCCAGGAATGCTCACCTTGCCTCTCAGGACAACCAGAAGACTCAGCAGTTCCACCTCTCCCTTGGAATGGTTGAGTGCTTCCTCCCTTGAGGAACTCCCCATTCCCATTCCACTTAGCCCTCTGAATGATTAGGATATGAAAAGTCACTCAATAGCTAAAAAACGATCAAGCTATGAGGTAATCTTTAATAACAACAGAAATCCCAAGATTAGCACCAAGAGCAGAAACTGTTTACTTTTTTGAGGCATTAACCATAACCGTACAGTTCAGGATGCCTGTCTAGGAAAGGACAGTGCCTAAGAAATTTAGGTACTAAACAGTATGGTTTCTGGTTAGAAATGGCCTTTGGTATGACAGAGAAAAATCTAGGTTAGTAAGATCCTCAGCCTTTAGACCCAGAATTGAAAAGACACTGCTTCAATTTTCATTGCTATGAAGTGAAAATAGTATTTTCTAGTAGGCTGAAGTTTACACCCCAATCATGAACTTGCAATATAAAAAGACCTAAGACTGTTTCTCTGGAGGCCAACCAGGAAATTGAAACAAACTTGAGCTCTCCATTCACCTAAGATGTGACTTAGCCCACAGGGAAGGGAACACCACTTAAAGCTTTTGAGGATTCCTAAGCAGGTTAGCAACTCTCATCAACACCAGTTTTTGAATTCAACTTCCTCCTAATTTCCCTTGCTCTGGTGTATCCCTTAACCTTCTTATACAACTTGCTTACCCCATTTACAACTTCCAGATACCTCTCTGTCCTCTTTCTTTCTCTTATTGGACCTTATCTGCTCTCTACCTATTTGTCCTAACTAGCACGACTGCAGCACATACAAGGGCAAATTTATTCTGTGTTCTAAGCCATAAAATGGAAGAGGAAGCTATTGTCTTCATGTGGAGATGGGAAAGATTTGGGGAACAACAGGGATTTTAACTTTTAAGCAACTTTTTGATTCACTTTCTGGATTGGCAATGCATCAGGAAATCTCAACAGAGGTAGGTACACTAATCTCCATGCTGACTGCACTGTAACAATGTGGGAACGGGGGGGTAGGGTGGGGTGGAGTGGCGAAGAGTCTGGTTTAAGACTATCTTTTGGGTCTAAACAGCCTCTTACCAACTTCCCTTGATGACAGTTGAGCTCAAACCCACTTACCTCTCCTGTCAGGAGGAGTCAGGGTACATGAAGCTCAACTCTTTTGATGGTTTGGTACCATTATTTGTATAACTTTTCTATTTAAAAAAAAAATCATATTTTATGGTTTCTCCCACTCATTTTTTATTCTCTAGTTCCTAGTCTAGTGTTTTGAGGCTCCTCTTCAAATCCTAATAACTTTTTGTGGGGAGGGGGAGCATATGAGTCTATAATGATTCTAGACAGAGAACCCTTAAGATAAAATGGAGGAAAAATGTCCTTTATACATAATTAGATATGCTCAGAGGGTACAGATTAAGAAGTAAATGCAATGGAGCAAAAGTGGTATCGTAACAGGAAATATTTAATTTTCCAATCTCCACTTTCCATTTTTATAAACTGAAAGAAAAAAATTTAATATATTACAAAATATCTGTACATAGACAAGATACACCCAATGGGGGTCAAAAACAAGAGAGAGAAAGGAATACAGTGTCAGGAACCTAAATCAGGGAGAATGAAGTGGCAACTGACACTTTTCTGATGCAGCATTCTCTCTCAAAACCTGCTGGTAACCATTTTAGCACGGTAACTATATATGCATATTATATATACACACACACACATACAAGTGGTTGGGTGATGTCTATGGCATAAATTAACAGAAGTTTTACTTGCAAATTTGTGCTAACTGCCCTGCTTTAAACGTATAGATTTGATGTTGCTTTCAAATACTATTGTTCTTATGGACAGCTGAAGAAAAAAACTAAGGAAACTGGGTCAAGTATACTTGTTTTCAAAACCACAAAAATGATCACGGTCAAACCAGTTTTGCCTCCCACTCATGAACAGAATCAGATTTCTCATCTGTTCAAAATAATGTATTTAATAGACTTAATATCTCTCATTGTACAATAATCAAACCAAAAACAAAACCACTTTTGAATGGAATTAATTGGGTTTGTAATTTTAAAATGGTCAAGCTGAAATTCTGCCAAACCTTTACTTCCATCATGTTTATAGATAACATAACTGAAAAATTAACAAATACCTTTTCTTCCTCCGTACAGATTTCAGGATATTTAAATAAGTTTTTTTCCTCTGCTTTTAGAAATAGTCAAAATTACCAAACTTTTTTTTTCATTTTAAAAGTTAAGACTCCCAAAATGGGGGTGGGGTGAGATGAGATCATACATACACATACACTCACACATACACTCACCCCCTTCCCTAGTAGGGATGAGGGAATGGAGGCTTAAGTATATTATTTAGGATATTTGGCATAATTAAAAATAAGAGGTGGGAGGGGGAGGAAAAAACATTATTGATGACTGCCGATAACCAAAATACAATGAAAATATATAGAGAATTTTATTCATATTTGATGGGAAACCAACTTTTTTCACTGAATAGATACTTCTGATAGTATCCCAGGCTCAAGTTCTTTAATAAAAAACAGGGAGTGGGGCCCAATAATTCAAATTCAAATATTCTAAAATACAAAGGCCCATGTCTGAGGACTAAGAAGTCAACAGACAGGAGGTTCAGATGAACTTTAATGCAATTTACCAACAGCATGTCAGTAAGCCTAGTAAATCTAACTGGACACATTGGTATAAAAAGCCATCAATGCCAAAATGACTAGAAGGTTCTCTTTCTAATCAGTGTTTGGCCCTGGAGGCATGGCCAGATAAAAAACCCAGAGAATAATAAAGAAATACACACACCATTATCTACCTATTTCATTAACAGTCTTCAAGTAAGTATCTGAAGAGGATTCTTCTTTCATTTCTTTAAAGTTCTGTTTTTTAAGTAATGCACCTTTCTCTTATAAGTAGATTTTATTTTTAAAAGTAAGAACTTGGCATTGAAACATGAAACTTGAGTTTTGAAAACTATCCTTCAAGATACTGAAGCATGTTTGCTTTTTCTTTGTAAAAAGGGGCTAACCTGTTTCCTAAAGGTCTAAGTCTGTGCAGATAAATTATATGACATGTATCTGTTTTTAAAACACTCTATATGCTGGTACTCACACAGAAATAGAAGCCAGAATGAGAAGCCTCCCAAATTATCCCACCCTGACAGCCTTTCCCTTTTTCATTTCCTGTTTATGATAAGGCAAAGTTCTTGCCAGGAAGCACAATTTAACCCCTTTTACCAAATCAAATCCAAATATCTTTGGAGGAAAATCCCTAAAAGAACTGGCAGAATACACATGCTGGGACATGAATATGTCAATACTGTTCTTCCTCACAGTATGCTGATTTAAAATTATTTTTTTTAAAAAGGTCAGGTATTGATATATCTTCAGAAAAATACCCACCCTAAACTAGGTTACATTTCCATGTATCTTCAGGATTTGTTTTTCTCTTTGACAATATCACAATGCTCCGTTTGAAAGGTTTTTGTTTTTTTTTTTGACATAAAAATATACGTGTAAACAATATGCTAAATGCTATTATTAGCCCTCTAGGTATGGAGGCATCATCTCTAACCACAGCTCAGCAGCAATGTCCAAGCTGTCCACATTTACAAATCAACTTCCCCATCAGAACATGGTTTAAAAAACAAAACATTTTAGAATTGAAGAGTTACAGAGAACAATGTAGGAGTTTGAATTTCCTTTCCTTTATTTCAAAAAAAAATAAAGAATTATCCCAGGTTCTTGGGCATCTCAACTATTAATTTTTTCCAAACAAATGCCTCAAAGAGAGAGAAACAGAGAGAGCAAGAGTGGGTGAGCAAAAGAGAAAAAAAGAAAGAGAGAGAGAGAGACGGAGGGAGAGGCAGAGAGCAAAGTGGGGGAGGGAGAGGGAGAACACGTGCACATATGGGCAGAAAGGGAAAGAGATTGGGTAAAATCTACCTACTTGCCCAAGAATGCCACTTTCTATAACCTGCTTTATGTGCAGGGAAAAGGGCCTATCTTTTGTAAAAGTGGAGTAAACTTTAAGGATGAGTAATTTATTTGGAAAAAAAGTATGTTCAAGATGCTCAACGGGCAAAAAGTGTTCACCTAAAAGCAAAATGTGAGATGGTGGAGAGGAAGGAAACATTTATTTAAATCAGCCAGGCCACTGTTTCCCTTATAGCAAAAGCCTAAGAGCAGCTCAAATTTTGTGAACACTATTCTCTTTAAAGGAAAAAAAACCAAAACACCTAAATTAAAATTCAAAAGAAAGAAACCACACAGAACCCCCAACCCCAAAACTTTAAAAACCAAAGAGCCTCTCCTGAGCCATCTCAAAACTGAAACTGTTCTTTCTCTCTTCTGATCAATAAGTGCAGGCAATGAACTAATAAAACATTTACTTTTTAATGTAATCATCCTCTCCATATTCTCTACTTGTATCTACTAAGGTAGAGTTGAAGTAAATGTTCTGGCTATAGCCCATCCAGGGGGACTGGTGCCAACATCATTATTTCGTAAGTCGCCTGCTAGTAGCAAGTGAGCAAGGAATACAACGGACAGCTTTACAGTAGCCAAATGCAGATTACCTCGCTCTGGCAAATGATTTCATTAAAGATTCAGAGAACTGGATGGAAGGATGGAAAGGGAAGGAATCTTTCAGGACACTGAAGTCTCTGGGTTAGTAAGGAACTCCTCTCCCTCTTCCCCCTCTTGGTGGGACTCTTGTAGGCCCCCGATAGAGTTTTCCATAAGCAGAAGACTGAGTTGGGCCCCCCCAGTGAAGGCCTGCTCCTGAGCTGCTGGCCCCAGTGGTTCCTGGCCCCAGCTCCCCATAGTTTTGCAATTTGGTCTCTGCATGTACCACAGAATTGCTGCTTCCCTCAGCCTTCAGGAATGGTTGCCCGACCACCGGGTGTAATGCTAAGGGGACCCTGGTAAAACGGAGGTCCTGGTCCCCTGGAAACTGCACTGACCCTGTGCCCTGGTAACTGCTGGACTCCCCAAGGTGGCTCACAGAGCCTGAGAAGGTCCTGTTCTTCACCAGGGTCTGGACCAAGGATTCTGTCAAGGCTGGACCAGAGTTTCGTTCATCAGTGTCAATGGCACTGAACCCTGTTTCAGGCCCATCAGTGTTTCCATAAGTCCTGTTTGGATGGGGTTGGGTGGAGAATTCCATTGGTCTCAAGGCCTGGTGCTCATGTGGCAGGTGGCCAGGAGGCTCTGCTTCAGGCTGGGATAAAAGTTGCAGCAAGGCGGCTGTCACGGCTGGGTTCAGCTCCTGGGGGGCGCTGGAAAGATCGCCTTCAACCAGAGGGGGTGGAGGTGGCGGCGGTGGAGGTCCGGGGGGCTCAGGGGGCCTCTTCTCTGGTGGAAGAATGTGAGGAGGACATGCTGTGGAAGGGTTACTTCTTTTAAACACCATCTTAAAAAGCACATGTGATTATAAACACAAACACACACACTGCGCAACATAAACAAATATCAGTATAAGTAACCAGATATATAAAGAATAAAATCTTGGGATCAGGAAATTGTAATTATAAATAAATCAGGTGACTAAAAGTAAAACAGTTGCTTTCTGGATCTAATAGCTAGTGTAAAAATATCATAGGTTTCAAATGATTATCCTGATTTTTGTCTGAGAAATTTCCTCCATTTCCTTCCTTTAAAGAACTGTTCTAATATATGCAGGCTGTTGGCAGCCTCCCTGCCCCTTTTTGCTGTTAGATGGAAACATTAAAACAAAGCAGAAGGAAGGAAGATGAGAGGGAACAATATACATGCTGTGGTCACATTTCTAGGACATAATCTTGGTGTACAACAGAGACCTTGTGTGGACTTGCTAACACATTTTACAGAATGTTTCACGACACAGATTAACCTGAAATAAAACTTAATATACAGGAGAGATAAAGTAAAAACTTTTCATTACTGTCATGTAGAAAAATATACTTGCTTCTTCAAACTTTAGCGACCTCTCCCCAAAATGATATTCTGAAAGGATTTTAATTACCATATTATCATTCAGCTTCCTATGTTACAGTAATTTTAAAGATTAAAGTAATTTCCATCATAACTTTCTATTTTGTTTTCCTACCTCCTGCATTTTTTCCATGCTATGAAAAAAAAAAAAAATCACCATAGCAGTGTCATGCAGAATGAGCTGTTGACAAACATCTGTTTATCTTGGAGATAGTGACCAGAACTGAGTAATTAAAAGGGTATTGAATTTACACTATACTCTTTTGTCTTTCTTGAACCACTTCCCCAGACTTTCTTTCTTCCACTGCTGCCTAAATGTGCTTAAGCATAATAAACATTGTCTGATAATGAACTCCTGCCAAGTCAGGAGAGGAGAGATATAAAATGGTATGAGTTTGAGGACATACAAAACCATGGAGACAGAAGTATGGTCAGAACAATGCCTTTAGAAAATTGAGAGTCATCCTGCTGAAGAAAAAAAATTCATGTTTTGGGATACCTTCCAAATAACCAATTTTTCTTTTCCCTATGGAAGCTTATTTANAAAAAAAAAAAAAAAAAAAAAAAAAAATATATATATATATATATATATATATATATGCGTGTGTGTGTTATTCTTCCATTATTTAAGCTGCGATGTAAAGTCATTACTCAAAACAAGCCAAAAACAGTTTTTAGTTATAATTAGATATTTTTGTAGCATATTTATCTTAATTATATTTTGCAAAGACAATCAGTAAATAAGTTTGTATTCCCTTAGCATGCAGATGAAAGCACTCTGAAAACACTACAAAATTGTAAGGTTGTACAGTATAAAAGATGAGGTCAGGTGCTACAAGTAACATCCAAGTAGGGTGAACAACCGTCCCAATTTGTCTGGGACTGAGAGGGTTTTCCAGGTTGTCAACATTTAGCTTTAAAACTGGGACAGATCAGGAATCAACTGGTGACCCTATGTATAGTACCCACCCAAGTTTTTTGTTGACTGATTACCTGGTTGACAGGGTGGCAGGGAAAAATGAATTTAAGGACAAAAAATTAGCCATGGAAAATTTTGAACATGGAGAGTAGACATGCTGAAAAAGGAGGGCTAACTGGACTAGAAGTAGTGACAGATTTCAGAGCCTTTTGCTTTCAACACTCTCTATATAAGGACATCATAGTACCAGTTATTTTTAAAAGTATTTCTGGACTACACATAAAATGTAACACAAGGTTTTTTAATATCGAGGTCAAATAACTTAAAAATGTGTAACTGTAAAAGTGAGATAATCTAAACTTACATTCTTCCAGCTATGCCATTTTTTAATTCAAACTTTGACTTTCATGTAAATAGCCTAATTATGTTTCAAAAGAACTAACTCTTGAGTTCAAATTCCTTCACATATATAAAATAAAACTTTGATTCCAAAGTAGCAAAGGCTGGGCATGGTAGCTCATGCCTGTAATCCCAGCACTTTGGGAGAATGAGGTGGGCAGAGATCAGCCTGGCCAACATGGTGAAACCCTATCTCCACTAAAAATATAAAAAAGTCAGGCAGTGGCACACGCCTGTAATCCCAGATACTTGGGAGGCTGAGGCAGGAGAATCACTTGAACCTGAGAGGTAGAGGTTATGGTGAACTGAAATCATGCAATTGCATTCCAGCCTCGGTGACAGAGCGAGACTCCACCTCAAAAAAAAAAAAGCTATTAAAGTAAGGCTAATAAAACTTCTTAAATGAATTAAAAATAAAATATGAATTACAAATCATACTGTTATGATTTAAAGTATCGATGCTGTCGCTCCTTAAAAGTACAGGACTTTTGGCCAGGCATGGTAGCTCACATCTGTAATCCCAGCAGTTTGGGCAGCCAAGGCAGGTGGATCACCTGAGGTCAGGAGTTCAAAATTAACCTGGCCAACATGGCGAAACCCTGTCTCTACTAAGAATACAAAAATTGGCCGGGCGCGGTGGCTCACGCCTGTAATCCGAGCACTTTGGGAGGCCGAGGCGGGTAGATCACGAGGTCAAGAGATCGAGACCATCCTGGTCAACATGGTGAAACCCCGTCTCTACTAAAAATACAAAA